TAGATGGATGTTTGGATGTTTTTTACTCAATCACACACAACGGCTGAACGGATCTGGATGAAATTTGGCACAGAGATAGATTATAGTCTGAAATTGCTCATATGCTACTTTTTATACCGGAAAAATGTACGGTTCCTGTGGGATAGGTTTGTTTTTATTTTCCTAGAGCGAAGCGAGGGTGAGCCGCTAGTATTTTATAAATCAATTCTGGTTGCTATTTTAAAAAATGAGGTTTTTTTAAACAACTTGGGTTAATTTAGTTTTGTTCCATTTTTAGTAAGTGTACATCAAAACTATTGGTGGGGAAGGTTCACTGGCAGATGTCCCAGTGATGTCCCAGATGGAATTGAAAAGTTTATTTATTTTTATATCTTTAATTACATATTTTAATTATTAAAGTCTATAAGGGTAATGTGACATATATATTGACAAGTCGCTATAGCAACGGTTAGTTAAAAAATAAGATGCGGGGGTTGTGAGGCGGTATGTCCACGTCCGCTTTAAGGCGCGAACAACTAAAAAATTAAAAATTATCTTGTTTTATTATTTATATCTTAATATTTGTTCCTTAAGTCAATAGCACTTATTAAAATTTTAAGTACTTATTCACTTTAATAAAATAAAATGGCAAGTAATAAATTAAACCTATCTTGTAGAAATGTTAATACACTTTGCTGAAATTTCACCGAAATAGTGAACAAAATGTTATTCCCTTTAATTGTACTCCTATATACGTAGTTTCCAAGAAGTTTCGTTGGCGATATTGTTTAAAAATATCACGGTCCCCCCATAGAGGGTGATCCCTGTGGAGCGAAGTTCTCGCCGCCCACACCGCGTCCCGCGGGACCTGGCCCAGGCAACGCCGCCTGCTCTCCGGAGACCCTCATTCCCTCCACCCAGTCTCCCTGCAGTCTCCCAGGAAAACAGTCGAGATGGTCGACTTTTAATTGATAACCGTTCATACATTTGCTTATCTTTTTCATTAGTAGCGACACGACTAATTTGTTTTTATAAGCAAGTATAACTAAAACTCTTTCGGTTCTTATAAAAGGTAAAGTAATTATTTAAAAAAATATGTTTAATCTAAATAAAAACAAACAAATTTCCCGTTGATTATAATATCTTTGCATAAATCGTAATTAGATCTAAAGTAATTTATTGTTATTTATAGTCGATATCATAAAATGATGAAATTTCTCATAAGTAAAACATAGCTATAAACAAGAAAGAGCATAAGATTAAATAGTCAAGTTCAGATTTTAAGATAAAATATACAATTTTAAGTTTAAATATTTAAACACACAGCTTGCTGTCGGTTCAACTCTTGGACCAGCGGCCACCGCTGGGACGACTACTGCTTCATGATTCCCTGTTGAGTTTGTAGTGACGCCCAGAATACATTAGAATTGGAGTTTCCAAGGTACTGAGGGAAACGACCTAGTCTGTGATGGGAGTTGTTATATTATTTCTAAACTCCAATTTAGTGGCACCTTAATCATTGTTATCATCTACATGTAAACAGCTAACAGAGGAATAACATGTAGGTATCCCCGGTGGTTCGGTAGGTAGTGTGAGAATACTTTAAAAAAATTAATTAAATGGTACGAGAGAGATGTATATAAATCAAATCTACGCAAATTGAAAACCGATTATATATAGTTTTTTTTTAAATTAATAGGTATTTTAATGAGTATGTATGTACATGTCTCATAATAGCTGCATATGTGTATGTCTCCGACTGCAAAATGCTATGTTCATATTTTTAGACTTAGTTTACTTTTTACGCAGTCGGTTTTTTTATATGTGTAAATTATTATTTTTGTCTTTTCTTAGTATAAGAAAATACTTAAAAAGGTACACGTTTTTCGTATACAAATAAATTCATATTATTTCTAGGATAATAAGCAATACAGGCCAATATGGTCAGCAAGAAAATTGAATTGGCAGCATCGTGTTAGCTCTTTGGTGCTGAATGCGTCCCGCGCGGCACATTGCGAGAGTTATGATGGCCCATCGCCCGCGGATGTCCCGCTTTACGAAATACTTCTTGATGTTGCTATACAATTCATACAAATATTATGTTGTGTAATAGAATTATTCACATAAATGTTTTTTTTTAATTTTTAAAATTATGGTACTGTATTTTAAATACTATATCCTATTAATTAATAGGTAGGGTCAGTAAGATGCAACATTTAATTCTTTTTTACTTTTCGTGCAATTTTCGATAAAAATTGACAGAAGATAACTCCGTGCCATTTACATAGATTTGTATGTCGTTAATATTTAGTACTTACTTATAACACAGGCTAAAGTTTTGTCCGTATGCGTATTTCTATGTAGTTAATCCACAACCTCTTCACACGCCCCCCGTTTTGTATTTGGCCCACAGCACGGGAAACTCAAGTAATACCTTTGTTATAGTTTAAAAGAAATCAAATTAGCTACGCTTTTAAATTAAACTCCAATTATTATGTTTCAAAAAATATTGTTTGATGCTGTAACTATTTCATTAAGTATCTAGATCTACTTACCGCTATATAGCGACATCACCTCGCTTCCGGCCAGACACACACACACACACACACACATACAAACAAACTTTGGCAATTATAATTGTAGTTTAGTTGATTATGTATTAATTGTCATTTTCCATATTATATGATGATTAGGTACACCATTACTGTTTTACTGTTCGGGAAATCTAGGAAGGATGAAAGAAGAAAAATAATTCAGCCTTCTAAAGAACCCTGAAAACTTAACGAGACTCTAGGACTTTTATTTTTTTTTAATAAAAAAACATAAATTTACCATTTTTTACCTAACATTGCTTCTTTGAACATTTTTTGTTATCATGTGATAAAAAATATCAGTTGTCTATAAATATAATTTAATCGAAATACTCGCATAACCTTCATTCATCTATACATATAATAAAATTGTAACTAAGCTAAATCTGTACATTAAATATTTTTTGGAAAATCTTATTGAAATAAACAATATTATCGATACAGAGCCCGAATCTATACTTTTTAGATTTTTTGTCTGTCTGTATGTCTGATACCGCATCACAGAAAAACCACTGGAGGGATTTTGATGAAATAATAATAATAATAATAATATTCTTTATTGTACACCAAAATAAATATAAAATATCAAGAATCGGTAGTAGGAGTGATGAAATTTGGTATAGTAATAGCTGGTTATCCGGGTTAATATATAGGACACTTCTTACCACGGGAAAATATCTCATTTCTGAAAAAAAGTACAAAAACTGCAATGTAAGAGTATACTAATATTTAAAACCTAAGAATTTGAATTATGATCATCTGAACGCGCTCGGAGCCGCGGGCAATACTAGTAATAAATAATATTATATACCACACGACATCAGTAGTTAATACGGAATAACCACCATCAAAGGAGATTCTAATCTCGATCTACTTATATTGGATGGAATGATTGTTAAATAAAGCTTATGGAAGTATCTCGATTAAACTTTAATGATCGGACTAAAACAAATTTCCTCAAATAAATTTGATAGTCCAATAAAATGTATTTTGTAGTCCGGCTTACTTACAAATTTATTATCATAAAATTAAATGATATCCTCCATGTTGAATGTACCCTACATACTGTGACGGGTTGTATTTAATTTTTTAAATGTTCCGTATGCAAAAAGCATTCTATGATTATCTCATTAAAATGTTTCAAACAATCCAAAATAGTGCGCAAAGTATTTCGTTAAAACAGTGGGTGCGGTGCGGACGGAACGCAATCACGCCACCCGCGCCCTGGCCGCGCTAATTGTGACTCCGAATGTTCATAATGAGGATAATACAATTTAATTTTTTTTTAACATAAATAATTATTATAGATCCATAAAAATACTTTTGTACATATTATTTCAAATTTTCTTTGTCAAATGTACTATAAAATATACCTTCTTATTAGACATTGACTTGGAAAAGCAAACTGTCTATAGGTTATCTGTACTTAAACTCGATTTTTCCCATTTGTTTTAATACATATAAAATATATATGAAATAATTTTTGCATAGACACAGATTAAGTATTACAAAACATAAGTTCTGTCGAATTATATATCAGATCCATAAAATGATAGCGGTACATTAAATACCTACTAGCCTGTGATTTCAGGTCTCCATGGGCCGTGGGCGCGCACCTAACTCGCACCTTCCATGTCTTTACTGCGATGCATGCATTATCTTAATTAGCTTTTATTTCGCTTCCATGTACATAGGTAGGTATATGACGTAACTGCAGTGATTACTGCAGGTATTCGTAATATATATTTTATTATTTCATTAATTTACTTAGCCCAATTTTACTAGTAGGTACATATATTATTATACACTTCTTTGTAAAATTAAAATATAAATTAGTTACCTATGTGACAATAATTACTTTTTATCTGAAAACGGTATGCCGACTTCAAAATCTCTTAAATAGTAATATATTCCACCTTTAGCGATGAAATTTATCTTCTCCTATAAAAGAGCTTAAACATGTATGAAGTCTTTCTTGTGACCATGTTTGCTGCAAAGCATCAAAACTTTGGTAAAAAAAATCAACATAAAACCGCGACAATAGTCAACGGAAAAGCCTAATAAATTCAGTCGATATTAAAGAAAGAAATAATGTTACAACCTACACGAATCTAGCTTTTGTTATCCATATAACTTTCAAAAGGTGTGATTGTGGGGATAGCCAGTAAAATTACCATAATTGTTATGACAATAATCGAAATGCTACAATTTGCACTCAATTTTTGTTTAAACTGGAAGATATGCCGACATAAATGCGAAGAAAATCCTTTCTAATAGTTATAACGGTATCCCCTGACGCCGAAAGACAAAAATGAACATATTTAGTGTTGTAAGAAAAAGTAATTGTCCTTCCTATCTACAAGATGTACTGATGTACTACTGAGTATCAATAATAACACACAAAATAAATAAATGTTACATTTTTTACAGCGGAAGACGAGGAGGAGTGGGTTGAGGGAGATCGCTCCGAAGGTATAGAAGATACCAACGTAAATAATTCTAGCAGTGATAATGAAGAAACTCATGAAGAAACAATGGAAGACAAGCACGAAATAGCTGAAGAGAATATAGAAGAGAAAGAAGGTACATTGTACATATTATAAATATAAATTTATAAGTATAATAGAAAACTTTTTTTTTTAAATTAACATTGCGTTAGGTATGAGGCGAGTGCTATGGATATTTTGACAAACAAGTTATCAAATAACGAGTCCTGAAATTAATATTATAAAACCGTGGACAGTACGATCCTATGCGTCGTATCATATTTAATTAAGTCTAAATTTCTTCAACCTCTCTTTAGTATTTACATAGATCACATAATGATTAAAAACCAAATTCTTAGGTTTTACATATTAGTATAATCTTACATTGCAGTTTTTGTATTTTTTCACAGAAATGAGACATTTAACTTTGGTAAAAAGTATCCTATATGTTGACCTGGATAACCAGCTATCACCATACCAAATTTCATCAAAATCCCTCCAGTAGTTTTTCTGTGATGCGGTAACAGACAGACAAACAGACAAAAATTCTAAAAACTATAGACTCGGCTCTGTATCGATAATAATGTTTATTTCAATAAGATTTTCCATAAAATATTTAATGTACTAATTCGGGTTACAAATTTATTATATGTATAGATTTGGAGAAAAACGATTTTGTCTCTATCTAATCTGCTCATTAATGTGAATAGGACATTTGCATATGTGGTTAAAGCTATCGTAAAGCATGTAGGCGGGTGACACTGACACACGACTACGGATAAGAGATGACGTACGAGCGAAGGTTCGGCTGCAGTGGGTGCACGCCGATTTGTGGATGACAGATAGTTGCGTCGTTGCCTCTATTGCCGTGTGAACAGAACTGCATTGAGTCGTCAATAAAAGTCACCTCCAATGATTTGTCTTCACTGTTTTTGATTGGTCATAAATTGTATTAGTTTGCATATTATATGCTTTACCAAATGGAAATGTAAATAAATACTTTTTGCTAAATTAATTTCACAGTTAAACAATATCCATTAATATTTGGTCAAAAATGAAGTGGACAATAATAAAGTGGCAAGTTCAACTACTGCCTGTCCTTAATTTTGCTATCTTACGTAAATACATATATTTATAAAACAATATAGAGTAATTTTGTTTTAATTTTTAATATTTATATATTAGCGTAATTCATTTCTTAACTTTCGCGATTTTGGGTGAAATTGGATGTGTGTGTCGAAGTGAAGTCCTTATCACTCAGTGGGTTTAGTGAGCAATGCGAAGGCTTTCATGTAAATATGAACGCAGCACGCTAGCCGTTGCAGTAATTCAATGGAGATTGATTGAGCCGCCGCTGCGGTGGCGTCTGCACCCAGCACTTAGTCACCTGTCAGATGCATTCGCGGCTACACACAATTCAGTGGCTGACCCATGCGAGGTCATTTATCGTCAGATTAGTCACTCGCGTCCACTCATACAGGATATAACAGGACCGGAAACGGTTAAAGCGATAATAAGTTACGTTGATCCGCTCCTAACACCCTCGTACTCTGCATTTCACTTTAGTTTACATTGTCTATTCTTACAGATGTTTAACATTTAGTAATAGTTTATGATAAATACAGTTTAATATTTTAAAGGTCAATTAAACTTTTGTATGATAATAAGTAATAAATTGAAATCTTGAATTGTACAATATGTCTGCGTATTGTGTATACATAATATATGTACAATTAACACGTGCACACGAAAGATTGTTCTATATTTTTTAGTATTTATTATAAGGAAGGAGAGCATATATTTGTAATAAGCATAATAAAATATAACTTAAAATAATGTGACATAGATAGAAAATAGCAGGTAATTTTACTGATCAACATACATAATTATGATCTGCCAATATAAAACTTCTTACTAAAAAAAAACAAGATTTAAAATCTGTAATTATTTTTAATTTTTATGTAATTTATGTATTTTTAAAATATTAAATATTACACCATATATTTTCGATACGCCACAAGATAAAGCACGTACCTATAGCACAGTACATTTATAGTTAAAAGGCCCTATTTGTTTAAAACTTCCTGTCATACGCTTAAAGAGACATTCGTTGTCGAGTGAATTGGCTAAAGGTAGGGAGAGAAAACATCTCGGTACCTCTGGACTTCGACGCATTTGTGTTATCGTACTCATTTGCATCTACTCTCCCTAGAGTCCTAGTAGGTTGCAAAAGTGTTTGTTAATCTGCCACATTGAACATTATAGTTATTATGTGTATGAAATTATTCAATACGTTTTAAAAAAAATTATAAATTAAATAGAAGTTTAAAATATTGATTTATTTCTCGAAACCAAACGATGTTTTAGATGTGTGGACGAACAAAATCAGTTAACGTAACGTAACTATAGAACTAATTTTATTAGATCTTGTTATAGCAATATTATTATACTGTAATGCTTTATTAAAGCGGATTCATATCTTTTTGATTTTACAGAATCGGATTACGTATACGGTTGTCAATAGGCAAACAAATGTACATGTGAATGTGTAAATGTACGTTTTTAAGAATTTTAGTTTTTTATTTTACTCTTCGATGATTCGGTAAATCTTAGACGGAAATGATATGTGAACATTCACATATCACAATATTATTATTTTCTTCTAGCCGGAATCTAATATAACTCTACTATCTACTAAGCTATCTAAACGGCACGTCATGCTGGAATTCAGTTTCAAATTTATTTTACAATATGACAAAAAATAATATTTTATCTATTTCTCCAAATATTCCATTTCCCTTAGCGGAACGTTAGTCAAGAGTAATTTAAAAAAATCCACAATTTATCATATCAGTTCACTTAAAATTTTTAAAAAACCTTATTTTATTTTTTGGTTAAGTAAGATGATTTCTTCATAATTTGTTTTTTTCGTAGATGGCGACGACACCGCAAGTCTCAAAAAGTCCATTGACCAATTTGAACCTGAAGATGTGGCTGGTAAGACTTCCTATTTTATTTATTTATTTTTTCTATCGTCACAAAATCATCATCTATCATTATATTTTTACAAGTAATAAAATATACAATAAAACATGACTACGCAGAAAATATTTATACTTTGGGTAGATAAACTTTATAAAATAATTTTAACTTTACGTCTAATCTACGATACTGAGATTTAATAACGCTATTACAGAGCTTGAGTTGCTCATTTCTTTGGCAACTTCGTTGAAATTCATAAGGTCACTATAATAAGAAGTTTTTCCCAAGCGATATTCTAAGCTATGACGTTCACGATGCGTTTTTACTGCGGTTTAATGCTCGTTTTACAACTTTGTCAAAGGGTGTGCTGCGGCAATGGCTGCCTCGCGGCGCGTCTCGCCGCCCGTCGCGCTGCTTTACGACCATGTCCCCGCTTATCTTCAACCATTTGCGATAAATCTCCACCAAACTCCTTGGACCTCAAATATTTACATGCTAATTCGTAGTCAATTCTGAACCCGAGATTATAAATAAATTGACCGCAGAGGCCTATCGTCAACCCGCCACCTTCACTTTATCTTTCACGACTTTCAGAGTTTTTGAGTACGTCTTTCATGGACAGTTATTATAATTTAATATTCTCTAAATTATATTAGTTCTTACTTGTTATAATAATTAGGCTAGAAATTGTAGGTACAATCTGAGAACTATATAAAAAGGTATATTGTGCTAGGAAAATAAATAAATTATATAGTTAGACAGACATAGATCTATTATTTACATTTTAAATAACGTAAACTAATCTAAAAATCACCAAATGTCTGAAACAATCGCATACTTAAATTTTACAAAAATAGACAAACATCCAGCTCTGGACCCCTTCGGTATTATACGCGAAGTACTCATTGTTCTGCTGTCGTAAACTCAACACACATTGACTTTGCTTAAGTTTTGAATCTCCAATTGTTTCTGTACAAAGGACTTTCTTCACTTATTACTGGTGGTAATAATCGGAAAATGAGTAATTTTTCTATAGTGGATTCTTGTCGCAGTATCGTTGTTGGGCCAACACGAGTGGTGCGCAAATGTATTCTCCGCGGGGGTGACGGGAGGGGGATGAGGGTAGTCGGCGCCGCTGAGCCCGAAGTTGGGCGCGTGGGCTCGCTCCCGAGGGACTTCTCTGTAGGGACTGTATTCGAGACTTATTTTTTATCTTTATAAAATATTTGCAAAATCTAGAGCAATAATAGGTATTACATCCATCATCCTTGTGTAAATAGTTTGCCAATGTTAAGCATCCATAAGTTATTCTGAATACTTAGCCGGAGCAACAATGCGAATAATGTTAGCAGAGCAAAGGATCGCCTCCAGTTGGCACGTGGCTAATTAAATGCCGATGTTGGCTGGACGGCGGGGGTGCATTCGAAATTCCATTTGGCGTGAGGCGCTTGTCCTCCGACACCGCGCCGCATACTTCGTTACTAAGTCGACAAACCTGAATTGTTTGGGAACATACCATCAAATTTGTGGTTTCGGTATTAACATGTAAACATAACAAGCTTATCAGATAGATTATCAAAAGTTTCCTTTATTGAATTGGTAAATGAAGTGAAATAAAGCTTTCAATAACAATATTTTTCTTAGTTTTAGAAAATTATTAATAATATTTTTCCTGCTATACAAATAAGCACAACAAAATCGATTCTTAAGTCATAAATAATAATTAATTTTTGATAAGATTGTAAAGAAACATAGATATGAACATATTTTTAATGTAACGAATTATTTCTATACAATTTTTAAAATAAATTTTTAATTTGCTACAACACATGAGTCCGTCCCTGGCAGATCCCAGGTGGCGCGGCCGCAGCGTTCGGAATTATCACATAGTAGAGAGGCGGCGGGGGGCGATACATTCGTCACAGGCCCAGCAGCCATTAGGCATTTAGATATTATCAGCAGCCGTTGGGGATGACCCGCGACCTGAGCCGCACTGCCAATGCTTAATTACTAAAAGTGTTTGTTTACTGTAGGGATTTAGTGCCTCCATGGTAAAGTAATATTTAAACTTAACAAATAGTAGTATCTTAATGTGTATTTAAAAGAAGTTATAAAACAGCTTTACTAAAATATATTATTTAGCCACAACACTTTAAGGTTGAAAATGAAACAACTTCTGATTGATAGTGTTAAGCGTTAATACACTTGTCTTATATAAAAGTTGCTTTTTACTATCTTAGCCTCCCTCTCGTTGGTCCCAGGTGGCGTCACTTTGGCCACACTTCCTTCCGTCCCGCGGGGATTCCCGACCCGTGCACACATTCGCAAAACACTCACACATTCATCATGCGTATTAGCTAACAGAAATGCTTGGAAACGTCGAAAAAGGAACCTATTCCCATGGTATTTACACTAAATGATATTGTCTAGAAAGTACCTTCTGCTTCACTGGACTTGTTAGATTTCATAAAATATACTAGGTACATACAAGTACATACAAACAAGCATTGAAATGACGATCATCTTTTATTTATTTTATTACAAATTTATATACATAGATATAGTAAAAAGTCTCGATTCAATTACATATTTAAGCTTTACATGAATTATCTATTTGTTTACACTTTAAAGTTTTACAACTCAAGTTATCGGTATCATATTGTAAATTTTTACACAAAGAAAAGTATTATGTCTTTTTTATCGAATCTATAATATTTTAGAAAATATGATTCTAGGAAATAGATTTTTTGGTAAAAATTAATGATTAATAGATTTATAACACGTGCCTTATTAGGTAATTTACATACGAAATTTCGTATATAGGTCATTATGCGTCAGCTGTGGTGCAATTCGTGATTAATGCAGCCTCACGGGGCACACACTGATTGCCGCTGGTTCTCTCGGGCATGTATTGTGCATGCCTACCATTGTATTATACAAATCGTTATTTTTGAGAAAAAATATACAAAATATTATAGTGTAAAGCGTAAGTACGTACATTTCTAATAATTTAGAATTATTTAGTTATAGTAATGATATAGGTCGTTGTGCAGCAGCTTTGGTGCAACTTGTGATTAATGCAGCCTCTCGAGGCTTGAACTGATTGCCACCGAGTCTCTCGGGCATCTCCACTGCATACTCTTGTTCACAAATATTTTGATAAACTTTCTACATCTATTTTTAATATTTAAAATTAAATGACAATAGGTATATTTATCTCAGTGCGAGAAAATATTTGAGATTACTCAATTTATTGAATGATAGACATGTATTGAAGAATAAGTTTAGTTTGATTGCTTTTTTGAATTTGTTAATCCAATGTTTGTAATAGGAGTGTAAATAAGTAAACTGCTAACAGATACCAATCATACCAGTAATTTAAATATTGAGAGAAAAACTTTTAATGATATTTATTGTACATTCTATACTCTTGCCTTTTAATGCAATATACTGTAATTCGTCCACTATTCAAGCCGTAATCGTTAATTAATTATATATAATTAGTTTGTAGCTTTTCTATAGGTATCTACATTGAATGAAAATTAATTTTATTCAATACTATCCAGTGTTATTAGTAGTAACATTATTACAACATAGTACGTGTCAGATCATTTCTTAATAATATTATAATTATTTATTGCTATCTTGCTTCCCCATACAAACTTTCATCCCCATTCTCACCCCCTTAAGGGATGACTTCCGGGATAAAAACTATTTCACCCACTTTTCATATTATGAGATTTAAAAAAAAAACTTATTTTAGTAAAAAAAAAGTTTTTCTTTTAATGTTCTTCTATACAAAACTTCCTGACAGTAACAAACACAAAAAAAAGAATTATCCAACTTGGTGCAGTCAATCCGAAGATGCGCGTACATATATTTCGGTGATCAATTTTTATTTATATGTATATATATAGATACATTAAAAAAGAATAGAAAGAAGTTAATTCGGTATTACATCGACGTAGAGCTCAAATAATGTATAAATTGGATGCCTTTTATAAAAATCAAGTTATTTATAGAAATTAAACTAGAGTCAATTCGATTATTTGTCATGTCTCATGTTAGATTTAATTTTTAAAAAGAGATGTCTGAGTCACGCGAGCGTATCAAATAGTAGATAGATAAGCTAACTCTATTTTTTTACCTACGTACAACAAACTTACGAGTATATCATTATTTTCTAAAGATATTATTTTTATGGACTATTTGATTTGTTATTGATGTTCATGTCTAGCTCTCTGTTGATTTTCTCTTCTTTAGATCTCGATTGAGATTATAGAGAAATGTATTATGTATGAATATAGCTTAAAATTTCAGGTAATTACTGTAAGCATTATTCAGATCAGTCAGGTACACTTACAACTCTATTGGACTAAGCCCCAATGATGTGCTTAAAAATATTTAGTGATATAATTTTTGATGAATTTAGTAATGTAGGTAGTAGGTATGTATAAATAATTATTAGCTTAGACAGGTCAAATATACGATAAAAGATTTTTGACCTCCTTTGCACTGGTATATTATGTCTACACATGTTATATCTGAATATGAACCCCCTTCTTTTTCTATTGTGTGACCTTGCTCAGTATTCTATACAAGCTGTCGCTATAAACCAGGGCCCCCTGAAAATGGTAAAAAGTGAAAAAATAATAATAGTAGGATGAAACCCATTGGAAATGGAAGAGAATTTAATAAAAGTGAAAGGAAAAATAATTTACGGGCGATCTGAGGTCGGGAAGTGGGAGGGGGTGAATTTTTAAGGGTAAAAAGCACAAGTCCTATAGAAGAAAGTTAAATGGCAAAGTTGTTGCAAGGAAATTAAAAGATCTACTACTTTTTTATTTACACTTTTTTCACATAACCTCAAAATTTATGTGAAAAATTCAAATAACCATGTTTTTGGTTTTTTATTTTAATCTTTTACAAAAAAAAACTTTCACGAAATTTGGTGAAAACTTGGTTTTTTATGTCTCAAACATACTGTATTTTTTTTTTTGATTTAAAATATTTATTTTTTCACCTTTTTTTTTGACTTAATATCGAAAAAGCACTCTAATTTTCAATAGAAAATTCTCACGTCAAAATATCTGCTTCTTTAAAAATGTCACTGGGCTTTTTGTTCGTTGAAATCTCCTGCTTTCTGATTGATGGTGTAAAAAAATTTTTTCTCAGAAAATGCAAAAAGTATAGGCCAGACACTCCTGGCCCTTTCTCCACTTCTCTATGAAATACCTTTTAGTGGGCTAAAATTTTCCGTGGGTCACTCAGGTATATATAACTTATCTTATAAAAACTTTTTAACAAAAAAATAAAAACCGACTTCAAACAAAAGCACTAAAAAGTAAAAAATAACTGATTGGTAGTTTTCATTTACTATACATACCTAATCAAATATTTTCGAAGTCGGTGTGCTTTGCTTTGTATGGGCTGGCACCGATTTCGAAAATATTTGATTAGGTATGTATTTAATAGGTAGGCTTTACTTACTTAGCCAAAGCACACCGACTTCGAAAATATTTGATTAGGTATGTATAGTAAATGAAAACTACCAATCAGTTATTTTTTACTTTTTAGTGCTTTTGTTTGAAGTCGGTTTTTATTTTTTTGTTAAAAAGTTTTTATTTTTCCCTTTTTAGTGTAGACAGTAGTAGCATAGTAAGGATTCTAACGTGTTAGACTTGTCAAATCAAACAAAATAAGCCCAAACTCAAAGTATCTACTATTAGCCGTTGAAGAGTTCCACCTATCCACCTTCTGGCCTTGCCATCAGATCAGGTCAACAACACCGAACCACTGTACTATCAACGGAAATAGAAATACTTGCAAAGTTTCAAGTCAATATGACAATTAGAAGTAGGTTAAATTCATCATTTGTTGTTTTTCCACCCTTAGGGGTGGTATTTTTTTTTGAAATTTAAATGGGACCAATCTGGAAGTATACCCTTTCATACAAAACAAGAATTGTCCAAATCGGTTAATAAATGACGGAGTTCTGAGGTAACAAACATAAAAAAAAAAAAAAAAAACATACAGTCGAATTGAGAACCTCCTCCTTTTTGAAGTCGGTTGAAAATAGCAATAAATAGGCATCTACGCATATAATTTAAAGAAAATTCTACAACTTTCTCAAAATATTGAAGATTTCTTATTAAATATTAACTTTATTAATTGCATTTTCTGAGAAATTTACCATAGTAATGTATATTTTTTTCCATAGGACTTGTAATTTTGCCGGAAATCGAGATAAACCGCTTTTTACTCTTAAAAACTCACCCCCTCCCACTTCCCGAACTCAGATCGTCTGTAAATTATTTTTCCTTTCATTTTTGTTATATTCTCTTCCTTTTTCAATGGGTTTCATCCTACTATTATTTTTTGGTTTCAAAAATTATCTGTACTAATAGAAATACTTATATATTATATACTAATAGAAAACTAAAAAATGTATGACACTTCTAAACATTACAACGTGGTAAGAATATATTGTTCTCATATTATTATGTACATATATTGGGGCAGCTTCTCTAAACTAAAATAAAAACATAAAATATTAGCGACTTACCCCCGCTCCGCTTGGGTTCGTCCCTAATTACGGTTTAACGTTTAGTATAGATTTCTCAGTTAAAAATATCCTATATATTGACCCGGATAGCCAGCTATCATTATACCAAATTTTATCAAAATCTGTACAGTGGTTTTCTCGTGAAGCGTTCCCAGACAGACAAAAATTCTAAAAACTATAGATTCGGCCTTTGTATCGATAAGTGACTATTTCAATAAGATTATACAAAAAATATTTAATTTACAGATTCGACTCAGAATCTTATTATATTTATAGATTATACCTAATATAAAAATAAAATATTTCTTAGATTAATGATTTCATAATATTTTTATAAGAATATAATGTTTTTTTTAAGTATTGCCGCCATCGG